CCTAGCCTTCCTGGACCTTGAGAAGGCATTCGACCGCCTGCCTAGGCCTGTACTCTACACACACAAACAAGTAGTCGTATCTACCACAGGTTGCTGGTGCGATTCCAACAGGAAACCGATCCAGAACTGTTTTCTGTCAGCCGTGCACTGGTCTAATGCGCCGAACAAAGGGTTCCTCGCCGGTTTCTGACCGTTTGCTTTGCTTTTTAGTCACTTTCTAAATATCCAGACTCCCGCTACCATCTCTCACCGAGTACCAAATTATCGTGCCCTATGCCTCCAAGGGGACTCTAGTTTTTGCAACAGTGCGCTACCCAAGCTAGTTCGACTACATCGGAGTGAAATGCGGCGTTATTCGCAGCACCACAATAGTTCACGATAGTTTTTGGGTGCGTTATGGTCAGATACCCACTGAAGTTACCGTACCGTCGAAAAATTGCCCACCTTCGTCTCAGGGCACTTGTCAACCGCGAGCCTCTCTTCTCTTTCCTTTTCCTTCCTCCTTCCTTCCATTCCTTCCTTCCTTCTCTGTTCCCTCTTCCTTCTCCCTTCAGCTACTGGGCTAGTAGATACCCTGAGGGGATACCCCTGGACCCTCGCAGCGAGAGCACGTCCGGTTGACAACCCTTCCCCGTTGATGTTTACGCGTAAAATGGCATGTAGCGCGTGGAGTACCGGACGGGACAGTGTATTTGACGTCGACTCTCACTTTGATGTAACTTAAGGAGGTCAATTCGATCGTAGAGCCAGTGAGCCAGTTCAATGTGATGGTAATAATTGACGGGCGGTTAGGGTTTTTGAACTTACCATAACTTTTTTATCTGATCTGTGGTCTGCAGGTGTCTGAAGTCGTCCTTGCTCCTGTGCTGAGCGGTGAAAACCTTATTGAAAGGTTTAAAGTCACGTTTCTAAAGCGAAACTTTTCAGATGACTTGCCATTATTGGTTGTCGACCAATTATTGATATGAAATCTCTCGAAAATGAAGGAACGTCGTCAGCTCCCTGTGCTGAGCAGCGAATTTTCTTGAACAGCGTGGATAGAATTTCATCCGGAGTTGGTTTTTTTTAAAATTATTGTTCTGCTTGATTTGAGTTTTGGTGAGATGTCATTGTGACAAAGGATTAATAACTACTATCGAAAAGCTATACAATCATGCAATCCGTTCTTTTCCGCAGATTCCCGATTCATTTGATCTCGGCACGGTCCCTGTCGAGTTGACATGCATCGCCTCTTCTTCGAACTACATAGTCATTGGTGCTGGCTGTGGAGCGCTGTTTATTTACAACAAAAAACTCAGCAAACTCTTGAGGCCGTGAGTTCTTCGTGATTCTGGATAGAAGAAAATGGACGCGTCTTGCGCATGCGACTTCAACATTGATACCATAGTACTGAAACACAACAGAGTTTTTCCCTGTATGCGTGTGGAATCTCATGAACAGAGTCCATGCACAACAAGTGATCCCTGCGCTTCCTTGGTCAGGGCAATGTTCATACTTTGCGACTCTTTCTAAGTACTCGACGTTTTCGGTAACTGTACTGATAAGAAGCGAAAACGTATTGATCCGACGTTTTCGACATTAGATCGTTACGTACCTTTTGTACCGTTTTGTGTGCAGCCACCAGAAAGTCGATTGGTGTGTCTCACTGTTCCCACTCGATAACCCTTCGCTGACCTTAACCACTTTTTCCCGTCTGAATCGGAAAACGTTTTACCGATTTTTCTGTTGGGCCCGCCGGCATCTTGTTCCGTCTTTGCATCGTGACTCCTCGCTTGGCCTTTAATTCATCAGCCTTTCCCCGTCTCTGGAGGCTCTGTCAAGCCAAATTACTATTTTTTTTTTTGAATTGACTAGCTAATTTTGACAAACTACTCCGCCTGCGGGCGGTTCTTAACTCACCACGAACTCTCGGCAGATCTTTCTCTTCTCTATCGAGTTTTTTTTTGCGATCTCTGTACATTCTCGAGAACCGAATTACTGAATTTCGTGGGACATATTCTAAACATGCCCTGCCCTTTCTTGTATATCTCCCCACTAAGGCCTGACAATCCCTTGCTAACCTTGATCCACTTTTCTCCCCATCTCTGAACTGCCCTGTAACCGAGTTATGAATTTTTGCCTGCGGTATCGCTAATTTTCGGCACATCCCTAGCCACTGTGGGCAGGGCTTCGCATATATCCATGTGTGCTCTGTTACATCCTGTCCCATGCCGTACCAATAACGACTCTGACGGCGCGGCCTCTCAGTTCCTCTTCTAGTGAAGCCGAACTTCAGGCAGCAGATAATAAGACATAAACAGAGCGTATTGCCGCATCAGACGTAGCGAATAATCTATGGTAATGGTAGGTAATGTTCAGACTTCGCACAATTCAGACTTCGCACGAACAGCCTCGAGGCGGTCACATGTATTCATCTTCTCGATGATTTCGTTGCCATTGGTCATAACACGGGAACTTTAATAGTTATCCGATTGCCAAAAGATCGTGAAGGAGCGACCACAGTAAGTTTTGTAAGAATCTCGTATTCTGATGGTCATCGCAAATTTCGCATGCTTTGTTTTCGCACGCATTTGTTTCCGCCAGCACTTCGTTCACTTAGAATGAAAGTTATGGAACTTGGAAAGGGCATTTCAAGGCTCATTGTGCAAAACTGTAATGCAGACAGAATGTGCCTCGCATGAAGGGGGCTAGGAGTTGCAGAAAGTGAACCAGTTTCAAACAAAGTACAGCTATTCGGATGACTTTAATCCGAATCCTGCACAGGAGTCCTCTGAAAGTCCCCTTAGAAGGATATCCCCCAAGTTTTAGTATTCACTAAGAGTACTAAGTTTTAGTTCGCTCAATGCATCGACTCAGATAGCCACCGCCGCTCACCTATAACATGTGTCGAATGGAGTTCTGATGCTAAAAAGGTGCGTTAGCGAGTGGTAGTGATACTGTCACGCAATCACGTAGATGTCGTACTTTTTCAAGTCTATATTCACCATCCAACACGTTGCGTTTTATGATGTGCTAAGTCCCATGAAGAAAGGCTGTAGATCGAAGAGTGCGTTCACGCTTTGCGTCAGCCCTAGCGTTTTGAGCGTACCCCAGCGTTTTGGCCACGAGAAAATGTAGCCATCTTCCCATTTTGACCATACCATGCAAAACGCCGACGCAAAGTATGAACGCACTCAAGACACGATTCTTGTCATCATTGGCTGTCATGAGACGTCATATCGCGACATTTCCTAACACGTTACATCTGGGTGTTGGACGGTGGAACTAGATCGGACTAGCCATAAATATCATGCTGAAAATGATTGTAATATTGCCATCATTCGTTTTAGGTGGTTTCTGGCGATGCTTCTGGTACAGTGATAATTTCTACGGTGATGTTTGAGACGGTAGGTCGCTACTATGATTGATGATTTTATACTGTGGTGTGATCAGCTGGGTTTGTGGGAGTTTCGAAATGATGACACTTGACATTCAGGGGAACACTGGAAAGTTAATAGGTTGTGAGGGAGCTGCCGCTGCGACGGCCCCATTTCAGTATAAGTCGATGGATCGCAGGATATTTTTTCACGGCTACTTTCATGGTGCGCGATTTCAGGAAATATGTGGGTGAGAACACACGCGCACTCTTTGGATCGCTAACTACGGATCAGTGCGTATACCTTCATTCGCAACCGTTTTCTGTATCGCTATTCTTCTCATGGCCTTAACCTCCACTTCGAATTATGAACGCGGCCTATTGTAGTTCTGACGAGTTGTTGAAGTTTCATGAGGATATTTGTGATAGCCTTAGCATTAGCATTCATAAAAAATAAAATACCGAAAATAGTGTTCCTTGGAGTAACCATAGTATGAGTGTTGTCCTGCCCCACTAGGAAAATGCAAGTGTAGTGTCATGAATAAAATCTTAACGGCTTTTTTATTATTTTTGCAGGGTGATTTTCATCATAGTTTTCTCTTCGGTGGGCCGAATTCCGTGGCCGCATTGGAGTTTATGGGTGATTTCGTGATTATTCACAATGGAATACAGCTGGCTGTGATCGATTCCAGGACACCTTCGAACGTTGAAGTTATCAGTGACAACGAACCCATGTAAGTTGACATGTTTTAGGATTTTGTGTTTCACATTATTTCTGGCGTTGATCCTGCATAGAACCGTTGCACTACTTGCCTTAAAGGCACAACCTACGTTGGGGCACCTAAGCTCTTTGAAGGGTATGATATTAGGAACCGCAACGAGCAACCCCGCACAAGTATCTTTCTGAAAGTTGTAAGGTAGTGGCGGTAAGGCACAAGGTTGTACAAGTGACTCCGCCAAAAAGTCAGCGACTCCGCCCATGTTGGTAGATATCTCATCGTTGTTTTACTCGTTCGCGTGCCCTCGGCTTTTTTTGTCTCTCGCTTATCACAGTGGAAGCCTGATCTCGAGCTTTTTCAGCTCTTTCCTTTGTTTTTTTATTGACGAGCGAGCCATTTGGCTTCAGTTTTACACTTCCATTACCAACTCCGACTACCAGCAGACTTCTCTGTGGCTCATCGCAGATTCCATTCTGCCATTAAAGACAGCCCCGCGCTTGAGTAGTACATGGTCGTCCTTCCTTGTGCAAGTAGTACAGCCCCCAAGCTAGAGACTATCCCACTCTCGCGACTCCACAGCGAGCGAGGAGCGAGCTACAGCTGCTGAAAGTTCTAGTTCTAACGCCCGCCCAGTTGGACCGCCCACTTGCTAGATGCCCTCTGACGGAGGGCCGCTCAGTTGTTCTTTGTTGGGGCGGCGGGCATTAATCGGAATTGCATGCCCTTTTTGCTGACCGCGCTCGTGCCCATGAATGATTCTGCTCTCCTTCATTACATTTTATTTATTAGGAGCACATACAGTCAACTCCAACCCATCTTGCAAGGTAAAACGCGTAAAAATCACGAGCGACCCAATTTTCGTGGTGCAAAAGCTCGACGCACCACACTACACTAAAAGATGCACGCTACCGTAACCCTAAATTCAGACGCCTAGTTTTTGAAAGTTTCTTTTCCTTTTCAAGAGTTTTTCTTCCGTGTTTTTTGTTTTCGTATTCTTTTCATTGCATTGGATGATACCCACTACTGGGAGATGTGATAAAGGAATTTGTGAGCCAGGGGTTGCACAGAGACCGCAGGAAGGTGTGACTGCCAGGGAGCGATTTTGTTTATGGTGTTCTTGAGGACTCTTCTTGCTTTTTTTTCTTCTTTGGGGAATTACTTATCAGCTACTGTTTCATAATTGAACAGCAACTATCCATGACACTTTTATCGCGGGAGCTGTCTTTAAAACAACGGGAGAGTGCAAATAGCATCATGTATGCTTATTCCTTTTGTCCCGCGGTTTCTTGTAAACCCGTATTTTTCACATACGTATATCGGTAGACCAAGCCTCTTTGCTTCCTCAAAGTGTTCACTCAATAAGCGGCATTTTCTGCTTACAAGTGACAGAGCATAAAATTTTCATAGTTGACTGATACCCTTTAGAGTCCAAACCGGTGCCAATGTTCTCCAAAACGGCTGTGGTGCCGTCTGAATGTTGGGTAGAGTCGGTAGTTTAGGCGCGAGTCTGTTCAAGAAGCAATGTCGCTTATGTTATTCACCTTTCGACCCTTTACTTTGCTATTCTTTGTTTGCCTTCCGAGCATTTCACCATGAACAATGTGATATCTCATTCCAGTGACTTCTTTTGAATGCTTTTACTTTCAGGAAATTGGTTTTGAGTGTGCGATGTTTGGATGGCATTGTGTATGTTATTGAGAAGTCTCGCATTTGCAAATACACTGAGGACTTTTCCAAATGTGACGTTATTCGGGCAAAAGAATTGGTAATTTTCTAGTGTATACTTGGTGTGTTTAGTTTGTTTCAGCAAAATCTTGCTTGGAATATTTGATACTGATTCCGTTTTACTGTTTGTGATTTCAAGTGATTTAACGCCAGATTGCATTGCATATTCTACTTGCCAATTTTTCCTGTAAGTAAGCTGCAGAACCGCAGGGGAAGGGTCTTCTCAAGACTGTTAATAGTGGTGTCCAATTTGGTGGCTTAGAAGGTGCTGAATGCCCAGTTTGAAAAGCGAAAGGCGGCTTATACCCTGTGAAGCAGTGTTCTGCTTGCTCCCTCTAGCCAGCGTTTAGAGCAGCACTTCCAGGGAGATGACGTGACATCTTTTCGCTTGGTTGAATGGAATGAAAGCGCCACCAGACTTGTTCTTTTGTTGAGCTCGAATACATTTGTAATGTATGACGTAACGGCATCAGAAGTTCTGTGGACGACAGCCATCAGGGTGAGACATTGTTTTGCTTTTCTTTGGTCTGCGCAACACCATGTGCTCTGATTTTTCCAGACTGACTGTTTCATTGGTGGATTCTGCGTAGATTCAGATGATTCTGTTTTTTATATCACGAAGCCGCATAGTATACATCGGATTGGTGCTACACCAATAGCGAATACTCTGACGCAACCAGGTGCATAATATTTCAATTCGATATTCAGCATATTGACGCCCAATTCCGCTCGATTTATATCTGTTTCTCCGAAGTTCGTATTTGGATTTTTGACAGTTTTTCGTTTCGTTAGCTGTGATTTGTTGTCCATTTTCCAATTCCCGCCGCTCCTCCCCCCACCCTATTAACCCACACTAAAGCTGACTTATGTGCGAAACGTTGAAATCTGTGTTCACACGTTGGCGTATGCTTAGAAGTTCACTTCTTGCGACGCGGGGGGGGGGAATTCGGAGGTCTACGGACAACTTGAACTTAATCCCTTTGAACGCGTCGATCTTCCGTTTTTCTCTGCACTCTCTCGTTTGTATGGCATACAACGGTCATTGTGACCTCATACAATCCAGTTTTTCGCACATGATAGCTCACCCACCCCGTCCCCTCCCTTGGAAAAAACCCATAACCTGGCTGGCCAAATGTTTCTTGCACATTTCGATGTTTTGGCAGCTGCTATCCTCTATCTGTCTGCGTCACAGGGTTTCGTAACAGGACCATGCCCAAAAGTTCAAGATGTCACGTAACCGGGATACGAGAAGGGTTTGTAGCAACAGAATCGTCCGGTGCAGGTGGTGGGCGTGGTCTGCGAATCATTGCGGCGAGAAGGGAAAGCATGCGTCTGT